TGTGTATTTACTTTGAAGGAGCCTGCAGTTCTGCCAAGTTTGAAGTCATTTTCATTATACCCCTCCTCCATGTACTTATATCAAATTTCCTGAAAGGTTTCTGGATAAGTCTCTAACAGTTTAACTGAAGTAACATAGACAATCCTTTGACCCTTCATCTTGTACAATCAATGATAATTATCTAGTATATAAAATGTCAATTCATTTATGGAATGAATTGGTACCAAGATTAACACCTTTCCTCTTGTAAAGTCTTCCCACCATTGCTTGCCTATTCCTCTTAGTAAATAGTAAATAAAACCCAAACCTATCCTTCCTTCCATGGCTTTTTGTGCATATAAACTCAATGGTCTCTCATCTGTCCTCCAGGCTAATGAGACATAAACACAAAATCACTGTAGCATTTGCTGTTGGTGCTATAACAGGGACTGTTGGACCACCTTTGTGGTGTAGTAAGTACTTTTCACCATACCTCATGATGGATCCTGCGAAGGAGGCAGACATTGAGTTCTTGTTCCCACAATTCTGACCCAGTGCAAATCCCTCAAATCAAGTATCACAGAAGTGGAATTCATGATGCATCTGCGGCCTCAACTGAGGTGGAAAAAACCCAACAGCATTAGAGAGTTTAAGTGCATTTCTGGAATGTGAGGGACCTTGGCACAACCACAGAAGTATAAGAGATACTCAGAAGTATAGGAATATCTGCAGTGCACTAGACATGAAAATGCTCTTCCCATTTTTCAGGGTAGATGTGAATATATGGCTTCATGTGTTATACCCCTTGCATTTTAGAGAAAAACATCATGGCCTGAAGAAAAAAGTTTAAGGAAATCACAACTTACAACAAGCACTCTGGGATCATGCCAGCAAAACAAATGAAGAACTTGGTTTATCAACTATTTGCTGCTGCCTGTAGGCTATGCAGGCTGGAGAGTATGCTTTTCCAATCATGCTTTAGTAGATCAATGTTTCACCCTTGTTTTCCCCACTGTTTAATTTACATTATAAAGCATGGCCCTGTGGCCATTTTTCCTGCTCTGCTATGATGTTTCTGTAACCCATTAAGCAATGGCAATGCCTCCATCAATAGCAGCTGGTTCCTGTGCCTCCCCTCCACACCACAGCTGAGCTAGGCATTCCCTAATTCACTCCCAAGTTGCATTCTCTCAGTAACTCTTCCTCTGCTTCTCCTTCAACTCCTGTCTCTGCAGCTAAAGTACCATAACCCATGACTCCTCTCGTACTTTGGAAAGGGAAGGGAATTCACTTATGTCAGAAGAAGCTGGTATTGGTGGTGTGTTACAAATTGCTTGAAAACTCTTACCAATTACTGTGATAACCAGCATCTCTTGCAGTGCCGTCACATCATATGTAGAGCAACTTGTGCAATGGTTCTGATGCACTTCCACCCTGCAGGGGGAGGGGAAGGGAAGGGAAGGAACAGGGCTATGGAAGAACACTCTGCCAGGAATACCATAGATGGTTCAGAAGTTTACAGTGATGGAAAATGTCTGCCTCTTTGGATGATGCCATGATCACAGCCACTATCGCAGAACAGCTCACAGCAAACCAGTGTGCTGTCTGCCAGAGAACACTGTCAGCTGCAGAAGCTGTTTGGTTGGACATATATGCTGGATGTGGATCCTAGATGATGCCAGACTTGTGGAACATGCCTCATGTCCTAAACCACTTTTGAAATCAGTCCCGCAATTCATTGTTCAGAGATGGTAATGAAGCAGTTCTTCCCAGAAAAGAAAAAAGATTAGTGCTAACTCTGTACAAGTTGTTTTCAACATTTGGGTACCTCAGAGCATCACCTTTGCAATTGGAAAATCTTCTGCATGTGGAACCTGCAAAGAAATAGAGCATGTTCCAAATGATTTTTATCTGTCTGACATCATAGAGATAGGAACTAAGAGAAAAAATGAAGTATTGTGTAAGCTAGGCTTCCCTTGTGTGACAGAGGAACTAGATTCTTCACACATCTATCAATGAGGAGTGAAGAGTTCTACAGCAATAAAGGTTGGTATGCAAACACTTGTGGACTCTTAGGACAGATTTATAGATATATACAATGATCTTTCAGGGGGAAGCCAAACATTGCTATATTCTTGTCCCTGGCAGATAAGCAGCCATGAGATTATCCTTCAGGAACACCACCTGCCATGGTAAATTGACTTTGTGTGTACCCCTTCATTCTCAGTAGCCAGACTTTTGCAATTTATGGCTCATGGTGCTATACTGGGCCCCAACAGAAAAGAACCTTAGGAACTACTGCAGACATGCTATGTAGCCCCTGTAGGGTGTGCTTGTGTTTACTTAAAATCAAAGTGCTTCTCCTTTTACACGCTTCTGGGTATGGAAGAAGACCTTATACTAGATGTCACTATTGCTTCCTGCTACCCCCAGCTTGCGGGACCAGGCAGTGGGAATGATGCCATTGCCATAATCAGTCACCCAAATCAGCCCCCAACATGTCCACTGAATCCATCATCTGAACCAGCACTGTGGCATGAAAGTGTGCAATATACATACAGTCCAAGCTCAGTGGCAAGATATTTATTGTGCATAGCAGCAGAGCAGCACTTTTAAAGGATTAACACAGAATTGTGAGTCTTGCCTGCAACTGCTATCCTAGCTAGTATTCTAGCTAGTATAGGAACTGTAAGTTTCTCCACCTCCCCGTTGGATCTGTTGTAGTCATACCCCATGTACACATCCTTTCCTTATACCTGTGACAAGCTTGGACCATAGAAGTTTTCTTCCTTCCCAGTGATTTACCTAAATCTAGCAATACCTTTCTTTACACATGTAATCACACACAATTCTGATATGTTGTAGGATATCCAATTTATATACCATCTACCCCATTTGCTCTTATGTGTAGTCAGTAAATTCCAATAGTACTTTACCAAATTAATTTAAATTAATATTCAGGATTGTTCTCTTGGTGCCAAGAATTGTCTGCAATTACATGCTCCCAACACTTCCACCCATTCCCAAGATACCAGGGGTTCAAAAAAAGTGGAGAAGTGCACCCCTCTTTTTGCTGACAACTGTCCAAGGTAGGACTTTTATCCTTAAAAAAAGATTTAGGGAGGGCAAAACCAGGCAGTTTGGACAGGGAAGCATGCATATATGAAACCTGTATATTTCTTTGTCCAATGTAACCTTTTTTGTTGTTCTTAAATCCATATTTTCAAAACCAGACATATAGACAAAAAGCCCTAGTTACGAAGGGTTAGTTGTCAGAATAAAGTCTCAATGAAAAGGTGCAGAGTGCACTTTTCCACCTTCCTGAACACACAGAATCTCATGAATGGGTGGAAAACTTGGGGGCACTGAACACTTTGAGGAATTCTTAAAATCCTGACTATCTAGCTGCAAAGAGTAGAGGAGGGGAGGTTCCCTACCTGCTTCCATGAGCCAAGATCACTCATAGTTCAACTTTAATAGCTGTCACGGGAAAGCAACATAGAAAAATCCCTATTTGCCACCCTACTGGGTCAGTATCTATTCTGTGCTTTGATAGAATAGATAGAATAGAAAGCAGGTACCCTGGGATTTGGCTGAGCAAGTCTTCATATTTTGGAACTGTAGGCATCTTCCCACTCGCACAAGTCCAAGTAGAATTTTTTAAAAAATACAAAAATGTGTGCATGTTTAGAATGAAGAAAATAATTAAAGGGAGGGGGGCCAACCAATGACAGCCCCTGCAACATAACACTTGGGCACTAGGAGAAGCTGACACCTAGGATAGGATAGGAAGGACTGCCAAGAATCGCAAGTCCTTCCTATCTCATTCTCCATTTGTCTCATTCTCCACCTTGCTTTACCAACCACTTTCAGGTAACACAACATCCCACTGTGGGTGAAACAAATTCTACAACAGCCTGTAGGTTCTCAGGATGGCTTGTTTGGGAAACAACAACAACAAGCTACACTGTGCGAAGCTGTCTGGGTTCAGACAACATGCCAATCTGTTTTGGATTATTGTACAATCTGCATCAGGTCTCTCCATAGCTTTCTTGCTATAGGCCCCATTGTGGCTTACCACAATGCGTGAATGGGGCCTGAATATATGACCAAGGATTTGCCATCTCTTATTAATCCCAGAAAATCTTATACATTAGATTTATTTATCCTAAACAAATTTTTGACAAGTGGTGGAAATGTTCTGCGTGCTGACAAAGTACTGCATTCCTTGGCCTCCAGCTGTAGTAAGGAGCTTTGGCCTGCAAACTTAAAATATTTCTGAGCAGAACCAAAATCAATGTTACACATTGTATATTATTAAATGCTGCAAAAGCCAAATTGCTGGTGGTCAGAAATATTTATAGCAGATGTTGTGCAGCAGTTATAAACTAGAAAGCAGCAATTATATACTGTCATGGCAATACTAGGATAACATTCTTCTGGCAACTATGTAAGTCATCCTAGCATATACCTGAACAATTCCAAAGGCAGAAAAGAATGTCTGTTTTTGTCAGTTCACTGCTCATAGAGGTGGTGAAAGGCGTTGAGCAAATTCTATTTCCCTCCAGGCCATCAGAGGAAAAGCTCTTCACCTGTTGACCTGTGGCACAATGGAGGAGCTAGGACAACTTAAGTTTATTGTTCTCTCTCGGACAAAATGAAAACTTAGTGTTTGTTGTATACTAGAAAGGACTGTGTTCAAGCTTCATGTTGATGAAGCAGTCAGTGTACTTACCTGGGAGATGAGTCATTCTTGCGACATGCACATAATTAGAGAACAGTTTGTAATAAGTTCTGACAGTTTTTTGTTGTTGCTCCAAATCAGCATCAGGCCTTGCCTTAAATGACTGCTTATACTTAAGTTTGTTTTTGAACCAGCTGTCACATTTTTATTTCACCTTCCCAGCAATAAGTTCACATTTCACCTATGTCTGAAAAACCTGACTGACTGCAAACATGAGCAACAGCTTCAGGTGAAGCTGTTCCACAAGTTTCACTGCTGCTGTGTTTGAACTCCACAGCACAGCTTGAGGCGAGCCTTGGAACCTTCTATGCACCAACAAGACCTCTCTCTGAGACAACCATCTTGGAATACAGGGACCAGATCAGCAGATATGCAAGAAGGTTCTTCCACCACCTGCTCAGGTGAATGACAACTTTGTCTTTTATTAGCTTCAAATTCATTATACATTTCAATAGCTTTACACTGTTGATGAGATTTACACTGTTGATGAGATTAACACATTTTCCTAAAGGACCACCCTGGAATAAAATCCACATTCATTGTCATTTTTGTTTGTTTTAGCTAGTTTTTCCTTCAGGACTTGTACATAAGGTGCTATTTTCTTGTATTCTGTCATCAAATCATTTTTAAAATCTCTCTTTCCATTTCAGTTTGATAGAGAACTGACTTGTTCCATGAGTAAACTTGCTAATTGGAATAACAATTAAAACTGTTAGGAGAAGTGTAGGGAGAGGAAAAGCCTGAGTTGAATTGATGCTAAAATGTAGATTAGCAATGTGAAGCCAGTATATTTTTACACTGCACCTGAACAGTTGGACTGGTTTTTACCCTTTTCCCTACCTGTTTAAGTAAAAATAATATAGGTGCTAAAACTTCAGTTTTATTAATTAAAGAACATCTTTTTATTTTCCATTAAAATAGGTGGATTTTTAAAAACATAATTGTATGATTTATGTAGTTAGTGGGAAAGAGTCAATGGTATTACTGGGATAATATTATTTATTTATTAGATTTATATCCTGCCTTTTTCTTTTTTAAAGAACTCAGGGTGGCTTACATCATTCTCCTCCTGCTGCTTTCCTTATCCCCACAACAACACTGAAGTAGGTTGAGCTGAGAGTCTGTGACTAGCCGAAAGTCACCCAGCTGGCTTCATGACTGAATGGGGACCAGAACCCAGATTGCCTGAATCCCCAGCCTGTCTTTTTAATCACTGTACCACACTGACTTTCAGTTAGGAGGAGTCAGTAGTATTCCTCAGCTGGCATCAGTGTTTCAGTAACATAATCCAATGGTTA